CACTGCCGGCTCATGTTCAGCCGGCTGTCGACCAGCACCCCCAGGTCCATGCATCACCAAGATAGGCTACCTGATCTTTTTTCCTTCAATCAAGTGCTTGAGTTGAATTTGAAAAAATATAGTTTCCGACAGAATGATTTTTTTAATAAAATGAAAGTTTATAATCTGGATTTTTTTTTTTTTTCACCTAGCTCCGTTTCAAGATGGAAGTATCTCCCCTCTCCCTTTCCTTCCCTTCCCTGAACCTCACATTTGCACAAAAAATTCACAATCATTTTGACTAGCCAAGATAGCATTTTTCAGCAAGTATTAGAATTAAAAAAAAAAAAAATATATATATATATGCGCAAACCTATGGCTAGGCATATAGGAGCAAGGTTCTCCTTCTCCAATTTGAGATAACATAAAACACAGAAGAAAATAATTTCATCAAGGTCCAGACCACCTCATGGTGATCTCGAGACACTTCTGCCAAAACCTCCATGTTCTTCTCAATATACTTGTGGATTCTGAATGCTTTTCAGTCCCCATAAATGCTTTATATTACAATTCCTTAAGAGATAATTTAATTAATATGTCTTTTAAAAAAAAAAAAAATCACATGCAAAGGTTTACACCAAGAACTAGATACAATGGCTGCTAACCCAAAAAACAAAAAAAAAGCGCAGCGTGCCTTTGGCTGCTTTTCCAAGATTTCTTAGCAGTAAAGAAGAAACTTAGGCAAAGGCTTGTGGCTACAATAAGGATCATGCTAAACATGTTCTCCACTTTCCTCCCAAGTACAGCCACCACTGACCTGCTTACTCCGCACTTGGAGCGCAAGCCACTCACGTATGAGAGCACGATGTGAACGTGAACTACTCGATTCCTATCACACAAGGAAAACATCAGCGCTATGTAAGAGGACCACTGAAAGTTCAAGCACTCAAGAAAACCCAAAACAAACAAACAAACAACCCCACAACCCACAAAGAGCCAGAACTGGGGAGCGTAAGGGAATTCCCAAAGCACGTGTGCATTATGACCTTGCCACCTGCATTTTCCCCACGAGCCTTCAGCATTCAGCCACCCTCACCACCGACACACCCTGGTTTCAGCCTCCCGGCTGGGGCTCCTCTGCCACTCCGCTGCTTCTTTCCCAAAGTCCATCTCCCAGCCTTCTCTGGCCTCAGCCCTCCCGCCCCACCACTGCCGCAATGGAAAGAAAGGCAGTCTTTTCCTGTCGGGTGTCTCCTTTTCCTCCTCTCATTTCCCAAGGCCCATTACCAGTTTTTAATGTTTCCTTATTCAGCTATTTCAGACGCCCAGTCAGGGTCCTCAGCACCCTTCTCCACCCGTTTTCCCTCTCCTAATCCTACCTCCAGCCTCCTTTTCCGAGAAGCTGATTCTCTCTTTGCCTCCAAATACCCGTTTCCCTGCAAGGGCCAGTCTTCTGCTCAGCTCAGTCTCTTCCCTCCTAGCCCGGCTCTCCTCCTGCCTGCGCTCAAATAAATGGGCTCCTTCCACAGTTCTGTCCAGGCCGACCACAGCCTGGAGCAACACCCGCAAAGGACGTCCGGCAGGCACTGCTGGCATGTGGGATGCAAACAGCCAAGGCACAGTCTGGTCACCAACAGCCCCGAGCGGAAGGAACCTCTCAACATATAGAGTAACAAGGTTTTCAGGAGGAGGAGGAGGAAGGTAAATATGCCGGGGTTTTGAGCTACCACTTCTAAGAATAAAGCTAATTTAAAAACAGTATCTAGCAGCAAAGCAGCGAGGGAAATTCCTGCCCCAAAAAACTGCAGTTTGGCAGTGTTATAAGCCATAAAAACAGGGGTTTATAATAGAAAACAGGATGCAAATTCAGAAATCATCTGCATTGCCAGCTTTTCCTAAAACT